TAGAGAGGGTCTCCATTTCAGTTGGTTATCACACAGGCCAATCATTCCTAGACACACCCTCAATCCCCTTCATCTTCATCATCTCTTAATCCAATCAGATTGACAATTCAAATTAAATATTATAGTAGGTCTTGTGGAATTGGACTAGTTCCCATGAGAATGGGTTGTGATAAAAGAGCCTGGCACTTCCCTTGTTCTGCATGCATTGCCTGACACTCACATATGCTCCTTCCATTGTGATGCATCTTCCATGAGGCCCTCTCTAGAGTCAAACAAATGTTGGCACCATGCTCAGCTGCAGGTATCTGGAGAAAATGGACCAAGTCAGGGAGGCTGTAGAACTTGAGAACTCGAGATGACACAAGAGAACTATGGACGAAGGACTTTGTAAACCTGCAAGAGAGACAAAGCATAAGTATTAGACAAAGAGTAAAATGTGAGCACAGGTTTCAGAGATAGAAAGTAAGTGATTTCGGTGTGTTCATTCCAGCACTTCTGGAGACCCGCCTTCGCCAACATGATGGTGCCCAGTCAGGACACGACAGATTGCTTCGAGTTTTGGCTGGGGTGGGGGGTCTGGGCTTTAGGCAGATAGTATTTAGTTTCACAATGTTTGGGGACCTATTTGAAGGTGATGATTCCAGTGTGTCAAATAATCAGTATGGAAAAGAGAAGAAATTAAAGACTAAAGCTTTGGAGCCACTTGCTCCCAGAGAATTCACTAATTTAAGTGGAATCAGAAATCAGGGTGGAACCTGTTACCTCAATTCCTTTCTTCAGACTCTTCATTTCACACCTGAATTCAGAGAAGCTTTATTTTCTCTTGGCCCAGAAGAACTTGGTTTTTTTTTTTTTTTTTTTAGAGGATAAGGATAAACCAGATGCAAAGGTTGGAATCATACCTTTGCAATTGCAGGGCTGGTTTGCTCAGCTTCTGCTGTTAGATCAGGAAGCTGCGTCCACAGTGGAGCTCCACCGACAGCTTCGGGTGGACCATCGATGAAGTATGAAGGGCCCTGAGGAAGTTGCCAGCAGTAGAGGAAAAAAGTCATTGCTGGAAATGAGACAACATGATGTGCAGAAACTGAATCGAATTCTCTTCAGGGCTTTGGAAACTTCTTTGGTTGGGACCTCTGGCCATGACCTCATCAATCGTCTGTATCAGGGAACCATTGTTAACCAGGTTGTTTGTAAGGAATGTAAGAACATCAGTGAGAAGCAGATGAATTCACAAGAGTGTTAGTAATAAATTATATTGAAAATTACAGTTCATGTAATTAAGTCTAATAAAAATGTTTATTATTAGAAATTATTTATCAGTTTTTTCTGTTTTACTCAGACTACACCTGAATCATCAGTTAATAATACAGTTCCCCATGTCAACTGAAAGAAGCAAATATCTTAAAACAATATTTTACTCAGTACTCTAATAATTAAAAAGAGTTTTGGGGGGATGTTTGTAAATACAAACATTGGTCTCTTCAGAGAATCCAGTATCATCATGGTTAGACTATTGTAAATAAAATTAATTAGGTAAAAAAAATACTGAGAATATTTAAATTGACAGCATCTGTAATTAAATATTAGAGTTAGTTTATTAATACCCTTCAGAAAGTTTATCTCATATATGTGCTTATGTTTATGTATTAAATATAAATTTCATTAAAAAAAAAAGAAAGTAAGTGATTTCACATAGCTAAAGCTCGGGGTCAGTAGGGAATAGAAGTTGAGACTAGGAAGGCAGGTTGGGCCAGATTTGAAGATATAAGAATATATCCACAGATTTTAGGTACCCATTCTGAAAAATACTGTCTGATACAAAATACTAAAATTTACACATGAAAAACTATTTTAAAAAACAACTTTGAAAAGCATGTCATTCAAAATAGAATAATTTCTATTTCCACTGCATGTTGCTGAGCAATTAAAGTCTATCGCTCATTAAGCACATAGAATTTACTACAAAGCAATTTGTATGTTATTTCATGTGTGCATACCTTATCTACACAATTGGACTATCATCAGAAGGATACTGTTTTAGCTACACTGTGCCTACTGTTTTTGTACAGGAGGTGTTATTTGAGTACACATGATGATTGTATGGCTTTTCCCCTTTTCATTTTGTTATATGGGTACCATCAAGGGATTTTTTTCCTAAAAAAAAATTATTTTTGTATACTGAGATATCTTAGTCTTCCTGGAATAAATACCATTTAGCCCTGATACATAATTATTTCTATATATTATTGGAATCCATTTCTCTCTCTCTTTGCCTTTCCCACCCCCTCCTCTCTCTATATATATCTCAGTACTAGAATATATTTGTAATTGAACCCAAGGCCTTGTACATGCTAGGCGAGTGCTCTATCACTGAATTATTTCTCAGCACCCCTCCCATACCTGTTTTTTTTTTCTTTTCTTTTCTTTTCTTTTTTTTTTAGAGAGGGAGAGAGAGAGAGAATTTTAATATTTATTTTTTAGTTTTCAGTGGACACAACATCTTTGTTGGTATGTGGTGCTGAGGATCGAACGCTGGCCGCACGCATGCCAGGCGAACGAGCTACCGCTTGAGCCACATCCCCAGCCCCCTTTTTTTTTATTTTAAAATTTGAGGAAGAATTTCAATAATTTTCCAGGCTGGCCTTGAACTTGCAATCCTCCTTTCTCAGCCTCCTAAGTAACTGGAATTACAGGTGCATGAACTGTGTCTGGCATGTTTGCCAATGTATTTTCAAGAGATTTTGTCCCTATATTCGTAGGAGTTTTTTTTTAAACTTATATATGGATACACTGCCTTTACTTTATTAATTTTTATGTGGTGCTGAGGATCGAAGCCAGTGCCTCACATGTGCTAGCCAAGCACTATACCTCAGCACCATATCACCATTCTAGCGCTTGGCAAGCTCTTTACTGCTGAGCCCCTCAGAAGAGATTTTAGCTTATAGTTTTTTTCTTGTGATGTCTTTGACTGACATTAGTCCCAGGATAACACTGGCTTTATAGAATAAGGCAGTAAAGTATTCACTTTTCCTTAATTGTTAGGGAAGTTTGAGAAGAATTGGTGCTAATTCTTTAAATATTTAAACTAAACAGTGAAGCTGTTTAGTCTGCTAGTGGTGCAATAACAAAAACCATAGACTAGGGGCTGAAACAACAAAAATACATATTCTGATTAATTCTGGAAGATGAAAATATAAGATCAAGCTGTGGGTATGGTGGTTCCTTCTGAGGTCTCTCTCCTTGGCTTGTAGATGGTTACTCTCTCCTTGCGTCTTCATATGTCTTTGCTCTGTGTGTGCCTATGTCCTAAACTCCTGTTCTTATAAGAACACCAGTCATATGGCTCACTCTACTGACCTCATCTCAACTTAATAACCTCTTTAGAGACCCTAACTCCAAATCCAGTCATATACTGAGGTGCTGGGAGTTAGGACTACAACATATGAATTTTGAGGGTACACAATTTAGCCTATATCAGAAGTCATCTCACCCTTGAGCTTTTCCATTTTAGGAGGTTTTTCATTTTTAACTATTTTATTCTGGTAAAATATATCTAACGTAAAATTTGTCATTTTACCCATTTTTAAAAAGACAGTTAAGTAGTGTTAAATACATTCACAGTGATGTGCAATCAATCTCCAAAACTCTTCACCTAGCAAAACTGAATTAACTAACAACTTCTCATTCATTCTAATGCTGAATAATATACCATTGTACAGACAGATCACTTTTTATTTTTCCATTCATCTGTCAGTGGATATTTAAGTTGCTTCTACCAATTGACTGTCTTTAATATACTTCTATGAACAAATATGTCTTGGAAACTATGCTTTCAATATTTTTTGGATATATATACTCAGAAGTGAGATTGTTGGATCATATGGCAAGCCTTTTTTTTTAGGAACCATTTTGCTATAGTTTGGATCTTGAATGCCCCTGAGGGACTATATATAAAAGCATGGTGCTCAGGTGGTAGAACCTTGAAAGGTAGGGCTTGTGGGAGTTCTCTAGGTCACTGGAGGCATTGTGTTGAAGGAGATTATTGGTCCTGGCTGCTTTCTTCTTCTCTCTCTGTCTCTCTGCCTCTCTCCTACTTCCTGGTGATGAGGTAGGCAATTTTGCCATGGCACACTCTTACATGATGTGCTGTCTTGCCACAGACAATGACACCTATAGATCTTGGACTATAATCCCAAATTCTGAGCCAAAATAACCCTTTCATCTTAATAAAGTGAATTATTAAGGTATTTGTTATAGTAATAGAAATCTGATTAACCTGAATATTTTTTCTTTTTGGTGGCAGTGTCTCATTCGGTAGCTTAGACTGGTCTTGAAATTCGGGTCAACTGATTCTTCTACCTCAGCCTCCCAAGTAGATGACTACAGGCATGTGCTGTCATGTCTGACTTTCCATTTTTTGGGTTGTCTTTTCACTATGTTGATTGTGTATTTTGAGATACAGAAGTTTAAATTTTTTTTATATAGTCCAATTTATCTTTATGTTGTTGTTGTTGCCTGAGTTTTTGGAGTCATATTTAAGAAATCATAATCAAATTCAATAGCATGAAAATTATCTACCCCATCCCCACCCCATGCTTTCTCCTAAGCATTTTATAATTTTAGTTCTTAAGTTTAGGTTTTGGTCCATTTTGAATACATTTTTTTTAAAGAGTGATAAAATTTATTAGGAAGGATGGATTTAAATTAGATCCCCACATTACACACACAGGAAACAAACTATGTAACTATAGTTTCTAAAAAGGAAGGAGGGCAGGCAGAGGGCCCTGGATCACAGGGGACAGGTAGCTTCAAGTGAAAAAGACGGGTTATAGGTTTGGGGTGAATAAAGCCACTTCTCACCACTCCTCATGGGAAGTTTAGTGACTAAATGCTGCTACTCCAGCCCCCAACCCCAAAGCCAGCAACCTGTCGAAGTCTGTCTTGTTTTCTAGAAGACACCTGGGTTGTGCTGGTGGTGAGAAGAGAGGAAGAATGTCTTGCTATCTCTTGCTGTTCCTGTGTGTTTCTTTGCCTTTACTGATGGGATTGCTGGAGGGGCCAGAAAGGCCATCTGGTGTGTGGTTGGGCTGGCTTCAAGTGATTCTGGTGCTAGGGTTGGGGGGAGGGAATGTGAGGGGAGTATGGGCCACCACCAGGATCTGGTGGGGTACTTAGTCCATTCCTGTTCATGTTCTCAGAAACTGGAGAGGTAGCCTAGTGGGCTGTAGGACTGCCCTGCTTTGTTGGGTGCCTGCTGGGTGTTGTACCCTGGTTGGGCTCACTGAAGTTAGGAACCTCAGAATAAACCATGCAGAATCTGAGCAGCTAAAAAAGCAGGATTCATAGTCCTTTGGTGAGCCTGATAGTCTCCAAATTGGATCAGGTTGCCCAGGTTGTTCCAGACAGAGATATTGATGCTGCCTGTTTTGTCTGCCATTTTTCAGGTCCAAACCTCATGCCGTCCTTTGTTTTGGTCACTTGGCCTGTTTCTAGCACAGTGAAGATACGGTTCAGATTCTTTTGCCTGGTCTTGATATCCTTCACGAAGTTCTCCATTGTCATGCTGTCTAAGTCTCAGCACCTCATCGCCACAATTTCCCAAACCCTCATCTGGACAACCCAAGACTTAGTCTGTCCCCTCCCCCACCCACAGCCCACTATCCCCATTTTGAATACATTTTTCTACAAGGTAATGTAAGGGTCTACCTTCATTCTTTACTATGTGGATATTCAGTTTTCATTGTCCACCTTCACTATTGGATGGTCTTGGTACCCTTGTCAAAAATCAATTCACATGCATGCACAAGGCCCTGGGTTTGATCCACAGCACCAGAAAGAAATCAATATAAATATTTATAAAGATTATTTCTAGGCTTCATGAAGATTTTTGATTACTAATTAAATTTCTTATTATAGGTCTGTTCAGATTTCTACTTCTTGAGTCAATTGTGTAATTTCAGTGTTTCTAGAAATTTGTTCATTTCATCTAGACTAATTTATTTGGTGGTATATAATTATTTTATAATCCTTTTTATTTCTGTAAGTCCATAGTAATTTTTCCATCTTCACTTCTGAATTTAGTAAGTTGAATTTTATTTCATTTTCATTCATCTCTAAGTTTTTCCTTCCTCCCTGTGATTTCTCTTTGACTCACTGGTTGTTTAAGAGTGTGAGGTTTAATTTCCAAATATTTGTGAAGTTTCTGTTTTTCACTCTGTTACTGATTTTTAGTTTCATCCATCTTGTCAGAGAAATTTTTTTTAGAGAGAGAGAGAGAGAGAGAGAGAGAGAGAGAGAGAGAGAGAGATTTTTAGATTTTTTATTTTTTGGCGGACACAACATCTTTATTTGTATGTGGTACTGAGGATTGAACCCAGTGCCAGGTGAGTGCGCTACCGCTTGAGCCACATCCCCAGCCCAGAGAAATATTTTTTACCCTTCAAATTTATTAAGACTTGTTTCACAATCTACCACATGGTCTATTCTGGACAATGTTTTATGCACTTGAGAAGAATATGTATTCTGTTATTATCAGGTAGAGTGCTTTACATATGTCTGTGAGACCTCCTTGGTTGATAGATTTGATTCAAGTTCTCTATTTCTTCATTAATTCTTTATGTAATTATTCTATACATTATTTAAAGTGGTGCATTGTTGTCTCCAACTGTTATTGTAGAACTCTATTTCTCCATTCATTTCAGTTGATCTTTGCTTTTATGGGGCTGATGTATGTGAGTTCTCTGTTACTGTAACAAAAATCAGAAAAAAATCAACTTTTGAAGGGAGAGTGGGGTTTTTTGTTTTGTTTTGTTTTGTTTTTGGTTCAAGATTTGGGAAATTTCAGTCCTGATGCTTTTAGATTTATCACTAGGTAGTACATCATGGTGGGAACACATGGCAGAGGAACTTTGTTTACCTCATGGACAGGATATGAAGAAATGGAAGAGAAAAGAGCTGGGGTCATACAACTCACTTCAAGGGCATTCCCCTGTGACCAGAAGACCTCCTACTAGGCCTCACCTTTTAAAGGTTCTGCCACCTCCTGATAGCACTATGGGCTGGGCACAAAGCCATTACCCTCTGGGGAATACTTACTCAAACCCTAGCATTCTGGCCCTAGAACCCCAAAGCTCATGACTGCCTCAAGTTGCAAAGTACATATAGTCCATCTCTAAAGGTCCCTAAAGTCTTAACTGTTGAAGCATTTCTAAGTAGTACAAGTTCAACATCTTTTCTACAAATCAGGCAAACTCAACTCTGACCTCTGTAAGAAGAACAAGGAAAAAAAAAAAGGCATGATGACACACACCTGTAATTCCAGTTACTTAAGATGATAAGGGAGGAGGATCACAAGTTCAAGGTCAGCCAGGGCAAACTTAGCAAGACCCTGTCTCAAAATAAAATAAAAAAGTCAGGGAATGTAGCTTAGTGGTAGAGTAATTGACTTACCTTGCAGGTGTAGTGCTTGGGTTCAATCCCCAGTACTGAAAAGCAAACAAATATACATACTTCCAAGATACAAGGGCACAGGGTAAACATTCCTATTCTGAAAGGAAGGAATATAGAAATAATAAAGAGCAATGAGATAAAATCAAGACTGAAACCCAGTTGGGCAAATATTAACTCCTAAGTCTCCTTGTATGGCATTCAGGGCACACTAGTGAGATGTGGACTACCAAAGGCTTGGACTCCCAACCACTACAGTCACTCTCTTGGGCTGGCTCTGTTCACTGCCTACAGCTTCCTGGCTTCTTTGACTTTCTTTGGTCTTCACTGCAGTTTTGGCTTCATTCTCAGCTTCTCTATACATGGCTCTATCAGGGGACGCCTGCGGGGAATTTCAAGCAGCTATAAACGTCCTGGCCTCTGAGGCTTTCCTTTGAAGCCTTGATAGCAGCTTATATGATTCTATAACTCTCGCACTCTGTATACCTGATGAAACAATATAACATGGCCAAAGTCTGCCATCAGTGTGAACTGTGTCTAGATTCACTTAAACCATTGGAAAACAAAATCTCTAGGTGCTTTTGGGTGCACAGGGTGCCTTGGGGCTCTTGTCTCAAAAATCTGCCCTGGAAACTCTTTGAAAAAAATTTGCATTTGAGCCTGTCAAGGCTAAAGTTATGTGTCTTTAATATTGCTACAGTGCAAAACACTTAACCACATATTCGTCTTCTTCTTGGTCTTCTTCAACTGTTGTTTAGAGATGGGGTCTCACTATGTTACCTTGGCTGGTCTTGAACTCCTTGACTCAAATGATCCTCTGCCTCAGCTTCCTGAGTGCACACCACCACAGCTGGCCTTGGCTTCTTTTTAATGGCACTAGCAACCATAACAACATCCTCCTTGGCCAGAACTTTGCATATGCTTCTTTTCTGGCCAAAATATGAGTTTTTATAATCTTTCTGTTCTGAAATTGGGTCCTTGCTCCCAATTCTCACTATAAATTGGGCTCAAAGCAGCCAGTAAGACCCATGTTAGGCTGCCTTGAAATTTTCTCCACCAAGTAAACTCATCTTTCACTTTTAAGCTCTTACTCCTTTCCCATAAGACCTCAAAGCATGACTACAATAAGTTCAAATTCTTCATCAAAATATAAGATGTGGGGCCTCTAGTCCAACTTCTAATAGAATCCTTGTTTTCATCTCAAATCTCATTAGCAACACTTGTGTTGTGTGCCTTTCTATCAGCTTTCTGGTCTTTCAAGACTTCACTTGAATCTTCTACTCAGATCCATTTACACCAAACTAAGCTTTATTAGTCTTCTCCAAAAATTTTTAAATTTCTCCTGTAAACTAATTCCCAAAGGTATTTGACATCATCTCAACAACAACCCTACTTCTTGATTTCAATTTTCTGTTAGTTTCCTGTAATAAATACCTGAGACAGTCAAATTATAATGAGGAAAGCTACCCAAGTTCTCTTTTGGTTACTATCACATAGGGTATCTTTTTCTATACATTCACTTTTTACTTCAGAGCTAAATTAGTGTCTCATATGCAGCATGTTTTTAGATCATGGTTTTTTTTTTTAGTTGCAGATGGACATGATACCTTTATTTTATTTATTTTTATGTAGAGCTCAGGATCAAACCCAGTGTGTCTCACACATACTAGGCAAGCATTCTATCACCAAGCCACAACACAAGCCCAGTACCTAGATCATGTTTTTTAAAAATGCATTTTGTGGGCTGAGTTGTAGCTTACTGGTAGAGTGCTTGCCTCACATGTGGAAGGCACTGAGTTTGGTCCTCAATACCATATAAAAATAAAAATAAAGGTATTGTGTCCATCTACAACTACAAAAAATTTTTAAAAAATGCATTTTGCCAATCTCTGCCTTTTAACTAGAAAGTTTAAGCCATTTACATTTATAATAATGACCATAAGGAAAGACCAACTTATGCAATTTTACTTTTTTTCTACATGTCACATATTTTTGTTCTTCAACTTCCTTGTTATTTTCTCCTTTTGTGTTTTATTGATATTTTCTTTTTTTCATATTTTCAGTTGTAGATGAACACAATACCTTTATTTTGTTTATTTAGTTTTATGTGGTGCTAGGGATTGAACCTAGAGCCTCACGTATGCTAGGCAAGCACTCTACCACTAAGCTACATTCCCAGCCCTTAATTGATATTTTCTAGTATACCATTTTGTTCCCTTCTCTTCTATCTTTCTGTATATTTTATTTCTCAGTGTTATTCTGGGGATTATAATTAGTGTCTTAATTTATAACAATATAAATTGAATTTATACCAACTTAGATTCCATAATGGACAAAAATTTTGTTTCTGTACAGTGTGTGCGCATGTGCGAGCGCGCACACACACACACACACACACACATATATGGAATTGGACCTGGGGCAATTAATCACTAAGCCACATCCCCAACCCTCTTTATGTTTTTATTTTGAAACAGGGTCTTTTTGTGGTAGGGAGGGGTACTGGCTATTGAAATCAGCAGCACTCAACCACTGAGCCTCATCCCCAGACCTATTTTGTATTTTATTTAGAAATAGAGACTCACTGAGTTGCTTAACCTCACTTTTGCTGAGGCTGGCTTTGAACTCTTGATCCTCCTGTCTCAGCCTCCCAAATCACTGGGATTACAGGCATGTGCCACCTCACCCGGCTTGAGACAGTTCTTGATAAATTGCTTTGGGCCTTGCTACATTGTTGATACTGGTCTCAAACTTGCAGTCCTCCTGCCTCAGCCTCCCTAGTCTCTGGAATTATAGGCATGCACCACCATGCCTGGTTCACTTTATTTTACATTGTTAACATCACAAATTAAATCTTTATATATTGTGTGCCCAAAGACAGATTTCTATTTATTTTTATGCATCTTACTTTTAAATAATGTAAGAAAACAAAGAGGCATTACATACTGCAAATACAATTATAATGACTTTTATATCTGCTTATATAACTTTCTTTATTAATGGTCTTTCTTTCTCCATATGATTTTGAGTTACATTTTTTTTCAGCCTGAAGAATTCTGTATTAGGGTTCTCCAGGAAAAAAGAACCAACAGAATTTATTGCTCTCTCTGTCTAGT